TTTTTTTGTTTTTTTTTTTTGCTTTTTTTTTTTTTTTTGCATTTTTTGCTTTTTTTGCTTGCTTGCTTGCTTGCTTGCTTGCTTGCTTGCTTGCTTGCTTGCTTGCTTGCTTGCTTGCTTGCTTGCTTTGCTTGCTTGCTTTGCTTGCTTTGCTTGCTTGCTTGCTTGCTTGCTTGCTTGCTTGCTTGCTTGCTTGCTTGCTTGCTTGCTTGCTTGCTTGCTTGCTTGCTTGCTTGCTTGCTTGCTTGCTTGCTTGCTTGCTTGCTTGCTTGCTTGCTTGCTTGCTTGCTTGCTTGATTGCTTGCTTGCTTGCTTGCTTGCTTGATTGCTTGCTTGCTTGCTTGCTTGCTTGCTTGCTTGCTTGCTTGCTTGCTTGCTTGCTTGCTTGCTTGCTTGCTTGCTTGCTTGCTTGCTTGCTTGCTTGCTTGCTTGCTTGCTTGCCTTCTTGCTTGGCTTGCTTGCCTGCTTGCTTGCTTGCTTGCTTGCTTGCTTGCTTGCTTGCTTGCCTTGCTTGCCTTGCTTGCCTTGCTTGCCTTGCTTGCCTTGCTTGCCTTGCTTGCCTTGCTTGCCTTGCTTGCCTTGCTTGCCTTGCTTGCTTGCTTGCTTGCTTGCTTGCTTGCTTGCTTGCTTGCTTGCTTGCTTGCTTGCTTGCTTGCTTGCTTGCTTGCTTGCTTGCTTGCTTGCTTGCTTGCTTGCTTGCTTGCTTGCTTGTGTGTCTGTCGTTTGTTTGTTTTGTTGTTTGTTTGTTTGTTTGTTTGTTTGTTTGTTTGTTTGTTTGTTTGTTTGTTTGTTTGTTTGTTTGTTTGTTTGTTTGTTTGTTTGTTTGTTTGTTTGTTTGTTTGTTTGTTTGTTTGTTTGTTTGTTTGTTTGTTTGTTTGTTTGTTTGTTTGTTTGTTTGTTTGTTTGTTTGTTTGTTTGTTTTTGTTTGTTTTTGTTTGTTTGTTTGTTTGTTTGTTTGTTTGTTTGTTTGTTTGTTTGTTTGTTTGTTTGTTTGTTTGTTTGTTTGTTTGTTTGTTTGTTTGTTTGTTCGCTTGGGTACGGCGCACATGTGAACATGGTCCCTGTGTGGGCCTTGCAGTTCTCGGATCTCCAAAGTGAAGTTTCGGAGCTGCTAAAGCCTCCGGGCCGAACGAGGCGAAACGCCGACCGGACAGAAGCCCGGTCCGGTCAGCGAAAGCTGACCGTGCTAGGTGCCAATCAGGCACAACCTCGCTGCAGTTTGGGGCCAGATTGTCACATCAAATGGTGAGATCAAAGTACATGTTTGCTGCCTCACGAATGACCACATACCTTCAGGATGCTTTCCTGGCCCCAGAGAGCTTTCTACAGTCGAACGAGTGCACAGGCCCGAGCAAGTCGTCCATTGCGGAACTTGTCAGCTGCGGAACAAAAGACTGTCCAAGCCTGGACAATGACAACCCAAACACTTGAAACCAACAATTTCGAGCATCCTTGCTTCTTTGCCAAAAAACGTCCTGTTTTGCGGGATGTCACGCTTCGAGCCGGGCTACACATTGAAGTACCACTTGATGCGGGCCGCGGGTCTCTGGCCCTCATCCGGACTGCCTGTCTGCTCATCGGAGTCCTGCAGCGCCTCCAAGCAACGCCATGCAAGCAAGCGCTGGACTGGTTCTAGCCGATCGGAGCCAGCAAAAACATGTACCCTCCCACCAACTAACATGGAAGTGCAAAAAGGTAGACTCGTGGGACTGCCGCATGAAAAGGCTCTCACATCGGGCTTCTGTTGAATGAAGTTCAAAGAGAACCGAAAGCAAACCAAACTAGTTTGACGGGTCCCCTGCATAAGGAAGGCCCATAGCAGAATCACTCCCTGTCCACCCATCTCCACGACCCACTTCGCAATACGCCGCACTTGAATCTTCATCACGGGTCGCATTGTGGTCTGATTCGTTTGCGTTGCGGCGTCATGTTCACAAAGGCAGGGGACGATTCGACCTGTTTAAACATGTTGTTCAACCGAGCTGTTCAACGCAGAGCGAAGCAAAACCGCAACCTGGAGCATCAATTGCCTTTCAGAGCAACATCAATTCATGCAACAAAATAAGGGAACCCAAAAATGGCTTCGGCTTTCCTGTTGATGGCCCTTTCTAAGCTAGGCTTCGCAAACTTCAAGGCAGAGCGCTTCAGCATTTGGAAGAGACAACTTACATGTTCAGCGATCCTATCTGCAGGCTGTGCTTGCACCCCTCAAGTCCAGCGTATGAAAGGGGTTTGAAAACGCAGGAAAGGCAGAAGAGACATAACCAAATACTAAACAGGGAAGAAGGGATGCGCCGGAGCAAAGGCTATACAAAAAAGCAACACGTTGACACGTTGACGGTTCTTTCAAGCCCATTGCCTGGGACAGGAGCATGCAGACCTGCTCGCTGTCTTCTCGAGTGCTACCAGTGGAACTGTTCGCAGAACTCGCGGCACTGGTCGCACAGCTCAACCGATTCGGATCCTTGAGTTGCCCCGTTGGCTCCTCGCACTCAACGCAAAAACCGAGAGGAGGTGACGGACAACAAAACACCCTTCTCCAAAATGCCAGACATCTTTCTGGTGTTTGTCGCTACCAGAAAGCTGGGTCCCCCTGTCCTCCCCAAACCGCACTACCACTGGTGAGTATATTGCACGAGGAACACATTCTCAACAGAATCGAATATCTTTTATTGGAACGAGGTTCAGCGGGCGCTCCATCGCAATGAGTGACTCACCCCCATAGAACGGGCCATTTGGGGATTTGTCCTTTGAACTCCCAAAACCGGCTTGTTGCGGGGTACGAAGTGCAGTGCTTACAATTATTGCGCATAGCACCTCGACACGGCAACTTTTGAGAATAATCCAAGTACACTCTGGCGCCACGGAAGGGCGACAGTCAGTCAAAGCGCAGTGTGCGCAGCAGGCTCAAGCTCTCATAATATTGCAACTTGTTCAGTCCGAGTGCAGTACCTGGCAAGTGTAACTGGAAGTCCACGGTACTAGCTCAAGCTTAACCAAGTCATCTTTCAGTACACATGTCAGGTGGTGGACTAAGTCAAGTTTCCGAACCTAGCCTTCTCGTTTTCGCTTGCTGGTTTGTTCCCCTGCCGCTCGCCAGTAGACTTTGAAAGCAACACACGGCAATTTGTGCGTCTGCGCAATGATCAACAGCCTCAAGACTCACATAGTTGCTAAAACACCGCGCTTGCTTCTTATGGCTTTGCATGCCCTCCGCACCCCGGCCCCATAAGGTTTATTGTACTGCCCCACTTGGGCTTGCGTGTCCAAGCAAGTGGACCCAAGCAATGTCAAATGATTTGTTTCTTCTGCCCCAGCCGTCATCCAAAGCTTCAAATGCCGAAATCAAGTTTCAAGCGCAAAAAAAGGTTGCGCTCTCGCTCCTGCGACCCGTGGGCGAACTGGCACTTGGCCCCCTTGTTGCAGAAGCCCCGGTCGTAGCGCCGGCAGAGGCGTGGGGCCTGCGGGCGCAACAGCTCCTCCTGGCTGTGGGCGAAGCTGCAGCTGGCCCCGTTGTGGCATTGCCCTGGGATGAGGATCAAACCAGTGGTTTCGCTTATGAACCTTGTTTTCAGGGGCGAGATCGGAAAAAGGCACAAAAAAAAGAGCTTTGGGTGGCTCGCTTTTGCCGAAAGCGTTGCGAAAGGCTTTCCGGCAAGATTGCTTGCTTCACGCACAGAGAAACAGCAGCTAGAGCGACACAAATAGATACGATCGCTTCATGCACGGAGAGATAACGCACAGAGCGACACAAATGGAAAAATGGATTAACACAAAAGACTCAATCTCGAGATCGCCTGCTTCTTGTACAAAAAAACAGCGCACAAGGTCACACAAAATAGAACATATGTCCCCCCCCCCCTTTGCACAGGAAGATCGCGCACAGACTTGATCTGCTCAGAGCACAGCGAGCCAGTCTAGACAAATAGTGCGGAAGAGTGGAGATGGTGACCGACGCAAAGGTGCAGAACCATCGCATGGGAGAATGAGCAAAGAACGTACATTGAATTTGTGTGTCAGAGACATACACATGACATATCAATTGATGCACAAAGCTGCACAAAAAGCTTTCTGTGATTACACGTGACACGTCGCGCGACTCACGCGTGAGCGAACAAAAACAAGCAAACAGACAGACAGACAGACAGACAGACAAACAAACAAAGGAAGCAAGGAAGGAAGGAACGCAAGGAAGCAAGGAAGCAAGGAAGCAAGCAAGGAAGGAACAAAGAAAGAAACAAGCAAAACAAAACACACAAGAACAACACAAACACACACACACACACACACACACACACACACACACACACACACACACACACATGTGAGCGGGCACGCGCACGCACACGCACACGCACACGCACACGGCACACGGCACACGCACACGGCACACGCACATGGCACACGCACACGCACACGCACACGCACACGCACACGCACACGCACACGCACACGGCACAGACAAACAGACAGACAGACAGACAGACAGACAGACAGACAGACAGACAGACAGACAGACAGACACAGCCAGCCAGCCAGCCAGCCAGCCAGCCAGCCAGCCAGCCAGCCAGCCAGCCAGCCAGCCAGCCAGCCAGCCAGACAGACAGACAGACAGACAGACAGACAGACACCTGTCCAGCAGGTTCTGGCAGCCAACCAATGCGGGAAACTCAGGCTGGAATGCTGCAGCCCAAAGCTCCGACAAGAATTGGTGGATTGACCAGCTGCCACTGTTGAGAAAAGAAAAGGAACATGATTTGCGTCTGTTTGGTAACGTGTTTGAGGCTCCATGTCAACTTTGGAGCAGAATCGGCTCACAAACTTGGTGCATACGTGTTTGATCGAGGGTATCACTTTTACTTTTGTGGCTGGCTTTCGAGGAAAACCCAAGGGGGAAGCCGAATATTTGGGGGGGGTCCGGAAAGTTGAACCCAAGTTTTCATTCACTGCAACCAGCTTAAGAAAGGAAAGTGCCCCAATTTCAGACCCCGCGGCTTTTCTTCGTTTTGAGGACCCCAACTCCCGGCCTGAGGACCAGAACTTGCAGAGCTGCGTCTTCCACAGGCTTTTTCGCAGTTGGGCTTTAGCGCCCATCAAGAGCAGATACGACTCGCACGCCGAATCGAAACCCCAGCGGTGGGAACCTAACGAAACCCAAGTGGCGGGCCAAAGACCGAGCCATCTGGCGGCCAAAACCTCCGAAGCTGGTCGGAAGCCTGAAAGGAGCGCCTCCCCCGTAAGGACCTTTGCGGGCAAAATGGTCATGAGGTCTCAAAAGTGCGCACAGGAGACTTGGGTGGTTCCCGTAGTGTTTGAAGGGAGGTAGGCTTCACACCAATATTACAATATTACTAGTGGCTCAAACATCATGCTGGTTCTCAACACCATCTGCGCCCCCATCTGGCCGCAATGTTCCTCCCCACTCCAACCCCCTTTGAAGCGAGTTGGCAACGCCAAGTAACCCACAGGAGGCGGCTGCACGCTTCAGCAGCCATGCCAGCTAACAGAGATCCCAACAAAACAGGCATGGACTCCTACTCGCCACTCAAAAACATCGCCAGCCGCCCACCCACCCACCCAAACTGAAGGATTCCCCCCCCCCCGGTGATGTCTCTGAAGCCAACAGCCAGGGCAACATCGATAAACCCCGATCTCAAGTGGGCATTGTACTCCATAAAGGTTCACCCCAACACCACCCAGTAAGCCTTGGTGGTTCTCAAAAAATGGGGGAATGGACCAAGTTAAGCAAAGTTAAACTCATGTTGCTGATGTTTTCCGTAGAAAAAGAGCTAAGAACTTTGATGGTGGGTACACCCTCAAAATCGTTGGCAGTCCCTGTGAGTCGTGTCCAGTTCGGCCTCCCCATCTTGCCGACCCTCCTCGTCCCCTCACAGCCTGGGTTCACTCGTGATAGCCTGGGAGCGAAAGGGGTGGAGCCTTGCCACCATTGGGACTCCCTGTGCAGAAGCCCCAAAGAAACCATGCTAAGCTTGCGGGGCTTGAAGTTTATCGCTTCAAGTTTCAGCTTGGCAACAGGTCTCAGGTGTACCCGGACAGTTGGGAAGCATTCCACCAAGACGTTAAAAGGCTTCAAGAGAGTCGCACGCTGGATGACAAGCGTGTCCTTAGGCAAACCGAACGAGTTTCGATTCCAATGTGAGCGGTAACACATTTGACCAACTCAGTCGTTTCAAATGGATCCTTGTGGGGCCAAAAGGCGTCTGAAGAAGCAAAAGAGGCACTTTCAAAATTACCCTCCAAACAGCGCGGCAAAACGCACGCACGCCGCCCCCCTCAAAAAAAAGGAGTCAAAGTCATAGGGCGAACTCATCTTTGGTGCCAGGGCGGGTGCCATGGAAAAGCCCAACCTCCGGGCTTCTCGAGGTCCCTTTTCTCCTGGGTCTTATGGATGTGTCTTTTTTTCGGGGAACCAAAAAATGATCCACCCACATTGTGTTTAGGGTTTGAATGGGGGAACTCCTTGGTGGACATTCATGTCCACAAACCATGTTTGAGGGAGCTTGTTTCTATAGAATCACAACGACATGAGCATTCCGCGTGTCACGTTTGTTTGAAAGCTTAGGTGTTTTGCACCCGTGTGAAAGCACTCTTGTTCACTTCAGCCACTTGGTGCCAGACGGTGCCAGATTGCCCGAATTCTGTGATTCCGTGTCACTCCAAAATCCCCCGTGGGAAACGAATCCACCGAGTGCCACCTGAGCTCTGGACATCGGAGAATGAGGCACTAAGGCGGGTTTTGAGCCTTCATGGGCGAGCTCGGTGAGCTGGTTGCTTCTAGAGAGCCTGTGGCACCCCAAAAAAAATGGCGCGGCTTTGAATTGAGAAGATCTCAAAAGGCAGGCTGTGTGTGTGTGTACGTGCTCTCGCCGGGCCCCTATGCCATTGGAGGAGGTTGCTTGTGCTGGCGAACATCATCTGTGAATTGAAGTCTGTCGGAGGTGCACACAGACCGGCTCCACGAACCTTTTGAGACTGCATTGCCTCGTTCATCCCAATCAAAAATTGGAGCAGATGTCGGGCAATACAAGTACTTTGTTCTGCTCAATGTGTTGCCCCGAACCGATCCACCTGTGGCGAAACATTGGGATGCCTTTTGGAGAACCCGACTTTCCGTCTCCATGGCAGGCCCATGCTCTGTGACAAGAAAAACATCTTGAAAGTGACAAAGTGGTCATAGAATGGACCCCTTTGGTCTCACAGAAAGGAATAATCGGCGCGTGAAAGTGGGGGACCCTTTTGGAGAAGTCATTTTGACCGGGAACTTGAGAAGTGTAAGACCATGGGTTGTAAATCTGGTGGCATGGGAATCTGCCACATTCAAAAAGAGGAGACGGAGGCCGTGGCCGGGCCCTTTTGGTTTTTACACGGAAACCAAAAGCAAAACCGAATGGCGGCATTTTGGGGCCAAGCAATGACTCGTCCAAGCTTCTATGCCGAGAATCATGCTCATGAGCATCCAAAAAAGGAAACTCGCTGACTCGGCGTTCATGTGGTCGCTTGGGCTTCCCTCGGGGTGGCAACCACAAACAAACAAAACAAAAAACACCCCAAGGCACTCGGGATGTCCGGCTTGAAACCTGGAAAGACATCTTTGGAAACATCCAGCCTCACTGCAGTCGCGTCTTTTTCCCGCAATTTCTCCCCGTTTTTCGCTCAGCAGCCATCTAAGGAAGCCCTCCACGTCCTTCCAGGGCTCACTTGCCCTTGGAACCCATACATGAGGCTTCCCTTTTCTCAAATCAAGCTTTGACTTCAACCTCCTGCTGATTGCTCCGTGTGCAAGCCAAGGCAAAAGCAACAAAATGTTGGGAGGTTCAAAAAGCTTTCGCAGATTGAGAGACCCCGTGTTCTTCTCATGTTGCCCCTGAAAACCTTCTCAACAGCCTCAAGTTACCACGAAAACACGTCGGCCCGGGGCGTCCTCGGCCAAGGCCGCGGCCCGCAACTGGTGGAAGTCCACCGCAGATAGCGATGGGTCCACTGCCTTCAACACCGGATACAGCGCCTGCGGCGCAGAAACGAATCCGAGCTTCTCGTTTTTGAAACCTTCGCCCCGAAAGGCCAAAAGGTCATGCGGTAACTTTGTTCTAGCTATTTCATGTATTGGTCATTCATCCATGTCCGTCCGCCCATCCATTCTGCGTCTTGTGCGGCAAATCGGTTTCCTGCGACAAAACAAAAGCCGGGCAGGTCAACACCTCGAGTTGGACAGCCAGACCCCACTCTCCGGCGCCTCTGCATTGGAGAACGCGCCGCGCCTGGCACGCTTCACCAGCTGGTCTGAGGGAACCAGGAAGACGCAAACCGATCGCTGAGGTCACTTAGCCGACAAACAGTTTGAGCTTGCCAACTCCGCGAAGAACCGGCTGTCTGCAAAGAGACAATTGGCCCTCAAAAAAACGGCAAACGCTCCTTCGACAAAACAAACTCCATAAACGTGTTTGTCCTGCCCAAAATCCCCTTCACGCTAGTATCAAAGAAAAACCACCGCAAGTCGGTCAGCTCACTCAAACCACCCAACCCCTAACAACCCACCAACCCCACCAACCCCCCCCTTCGGCCCCCGGCCTCTCCCGAAAGAGCTCCAGGATCCGCGCGTGCGCCGCACTCCGGGGCCGCCGGAAGGCCGGGTCTTGCAGCAGCTCCCAGGCGCTGGGCCCCCCGTAGCGCCGCGCCAAGCCCTGGAGCGAAAGGCGCGGCACGCGCGGGGAGCGGTCTCCGACCCAGGTCACCCGGATGTGGCCGAGCTACGGCCAGGTGCTACTTGTGTTCCCAAAGGTGACAGAAGTGGCCTTTCCAAGGCAAAACCTGCAGAACTTCAATCCGCTTCTTTCCCTGCGTCTCTTCGGAGGGCTACTTACTAGTTCCCTGCATGTACATGAGAATAGCAGCCTGTCGCTAATCGCCGGTAGTGCGTGCAGCGTCTCCACTACTTGGTCCATCAAGGATTTCAGCCTCGTCTGACAGTTGTGGCTCGAAGCGATCAGTCTCGCCCTTGCGGCTGTTGGGAGCTTGGTGCCGCTGCTGCCCAACGCCTGCAGCCGGTTGTCCATAGACTCGTCCGACCGCTCCCGCGCAAGTGGCTGACTCATGTCCAAGATGTTGCCCTCCGGGCTGCGGGTGGTGAAGATGGCGCTCTTTTCTTTGCTGAATTTCTACTCGCGCATGCTTGAGCCATGTAAGTGAAGTTCAATCCATGTAACTGGTGCATGTCCGCAACTTCAAGGTGCAAACCGCCCCCCCCCTCCCTCCCTGGCTCCCTCCACCCCGTCCTTTGAGAGCTGCGCGCATTTCCCCAAGTCCAGGCTGAGCTTCTGCAAGGAGAGTCCCCGCAAGGTCTCCCCCAGCACCTCCAAAGCGAGCAGCTTTTCCACGAGCAACAGAAGCCGCGCTTTTTCGCGAGCCAAGAGGTTTCCCTTTAACCCCAAAGGTGGCCTTCATGTGGCAAGGTAAAACCCTGGAATTTGCTGCGATTTTGCCAGGGTTTGGTGGGTTGCATGGGCGCGGTGCACTTGCAACGTTTTGTGAATCCATGGCTGAAGTCCGCAAAGGATTAAGTTCCAAACATGGCGACAGCCAAGACCCTGTGGCTGATCGATCTGATTGAGGGCTCAACTCAAGGTTCATTCCCGAGCCCAAACAGAATTAGAAAAGCCAAACCCTTCTGCCAGGTCCCGCAATTGCAGTTCTTCTTTCCTGGAAGTATGCTCAGGAAAAGAACTTAATTCTGAGGGATCGCAGAAAAAAGAAAGAAAAATAGACAAGGAAAAAAGAAGAAAAAACATTTTGGATGGGGTTACCTCTTAGACTCTTGCCCGACAATGGATCAATTGTTGCATATTAATATACTCTTCCCAATAACCTCAAAACATTGTCCGACCAAACAGCAGCCATGGACAACCTATCTGAACGCCCTGTGGACTATCACCCCTCCAACAAGGACACCCCCTCATCAGGAGTTTGTGTGCACCGTTGTTTGATGGCCTTCCAGCTGTTAATTGCCCTCGAAATGCATGGCCAAAAAACATTTCGGGGTTGTCTCTACATGGAGGAGGTTTCAAATTGCTGTCCTTTCGAGTTTGCTTTAAGCCAGCCCCAGAAAGGGGTCTTGCCGTCTTACGGACAATGTATCATGAAAACCAAAGCCATGAAAGCTTCGCTCCATTTGGCTATGCCGTACATTAGGGAACATCCCAATCCCACTAAAACAGACTAAAATGGGTGGTGCACCTACCCCAAAATGGTATCATTGGTGTTGACCCACGGCCATTTCCTTTGGGTGCGTCCCTTTCTCAGCCCGGCGCCCAAAGGGACTCGTCCGTGAGCTCGCGGCAGCCGTGGAAGCGCAGCGTCAGGCGCCGGCAATGCTGCAGCGCGCCCAGGCCGCGGCAAAGGCCCAGCAGCCCTGAGTGGATTCAACCAAAGCCCCGTGGCAGTGAATCACCTTACTGACGAAATCCGTTCGCACCGCTTTGAAACTATGGGAAACCATTGTCTGTTGGTATTTACAGAGGAATCATCACTCCAGGGTTGCTTGGGTGGTGCAGGATTTCGTCCATCCACAGTATCACTACGGTTCATCTGGAGCCGAATCGGAGCCGAATCGGTGGAGCCGAATCGGTTAGGGGTGGTTTCTCCCTACCCTCTGCGCGGGGTTCACAAAACCAATCCAAACCACCACCATCTAAGGGTTACTGGTCTTCAACAAGAAGCTGGGAGTTGTTTGTCTCTGTTTGAATTACTTTGGAGTTTGCAAGGAACCAACAGAAACCACCAATCACCTGGAGAGGTCTTTATCTCGAGAAAAATCCGAAACAGCTGAAAGACAACCCAAAACAACAGGCATGCCCCCTCAGCCAACAGGCCAGTGGTTGTTTCTCTGGCATCCAAGCTTTGCTACAGCACATTGAGTCCAAACATGCCGGAGAAAAAAAAATGCGCTTCGGCCACATAACGCCAATTTCACAAACATCCCAGGTGCACCCTGGTGGCGGCATCACTGCGGGGTTCACGCTTATTGTGCGCTGGCGCGCTCGCCCGCTCGCGTGTTGGCCACACGCACGCGTGCAAGCGAGCCAGCGCACGGGGGAGGGGGATTTCGCCTCCTCGCCAGCATGGCAAACAGCCGCTTTGCTCCTTTTCCGTTGCAATGAGATTGTGAATGGATCTGCAAATGACAAACAAAGCAAGAAACATGAAGATTGCAAGGAACATGAGGATTGGAGATAACCAAGAAACACCCCTCCCTTCCCGGCCTGCGTCGGTGAGCCCCGTGTGCGCAAAGCAAAGGATTGCCTCGGTCAGGCCGCGCAGCTCAGACAGGCTGTCGCCTAAAGCGGCGGCCGCCTGAGAGCCCACCAAAGAACACTCCGTGAAGTAGAGCCTCAAGATCTCCAGGTGCCTTTCGCGACGTCAGATGGCCATGGCTCAAAAGCCAAATCGGCTAGCCCCCAAAAACACATCCCAATCCAACCACTCAAATAGGTTCTAAAATGAGTGGTGCACCTACCCCAAATGGTACCATTGGTTTTTGAACCATGGCCAGATGGCAACGTTTGCCCCCAAAAAAAACACTGAACGGTGCTGGCTTTGACAGCGGAAAGCAAGCTCCAGGGCTGATTTTCACTCAAGTCAGACAGAGGCCAGCCCGAAGGTTTGCTCCAAGAATTTCGCCAGGAGTCAACTGCGTCGCGCCGGAAAGTGAAAGTCAGGGTCAGATGGGAAGGTGTCCCACACCGCTGAACTGTGACTTTGGCAATGGAGGGATCATGGTTGACAAGCCAGAAAACACACTCGACACTGAGCAGGTGCAGGTGTCTGATGTCTCGTGACAAACTAAATCTGGTGTGGCACATGGTATCCTCTTGGGTTTGCTCTACTCACCTAGAACTTCAGAGCGTGGGCCTTTTTTGAGACAGCTGAAGGGCTTGCAAAACCATGTTTCCCGTCCCATGATCCTCAAGTTGTGGCGCAGTAGACGAGCTCCCCAACATCCTCCCCAAACCAACAGTAGACAATCGATTGTTGTTCGCTACTCACAAATCCATGAGGAGGTAGACATCAGGCCCAAACGCTAAAATTGATCGGCACGCAGGAGGGGCCGAGCTGCTAATCCGACAGCCCCAAGGAAACAGACGGCTTTGCATCTTTGTGCTCCGATTTACTCAAATGCGCATCAGTCCCTCTGGCCCAACCACATAACACACAGGCACATGTCTGTGCGCCTCCAATAGGCAGCAGGAGAGTGAGTGAGTCCCCCGTATCCAACTTGAACTGGGTACTGTGTCTCATGCCTGCAGTATGGGTAGTTGGTACCAATTGATTTTGCAAGATTCAGTTCAGACCACCTTTTGGCATCCAGCTTCTTCCGCCTCAAGTGCTTCACCGTGCGTATCAGCACCGTAGCGGCTTCGTCGTTCTGGCGAGTCTTGCAGAAGTTTAGATGCAACTTCCGCAGCCTGAGCCATGCGAAACGAGTCATGACCATGCCGGCCATCCCTACGAAGCCCAAGGAACGGGGTGTTTGGACCATAGTTGGGTGCGTCGTTCTTGGAAGAGCCTTTTGGGGTTGGAAACCAAGAGGAAACCACCCCGTGGTTGGGTTCCCCAGTTCAAAAAAACCAAACATTGAAAACCACTGCAAACGGGGCCAGATTCTTTGTTGACCCAATAAAATGGATTACCCTCCCACCAAGAAACCTAGTTGCACGAATCAAAGCCTCCTTCTCGAAGTCAACTTTCTTGAAAAAGGAGGGGTCCTGTACTCTATACAAGTACCTTCCTGTCCAGTAACCAGCGCGTCGCTTGTAAAGAGAAAAATTGTCAGGTTCCATGTTCGTGGATGGGAGGATAGTCCATGCTGGAATTGCTTGTTTCAAGGGAAAGCCAAAGAACATTGGGGGGTTGCCTCAATTCGGAGACACACGGGAAATCCACCCACCAAATCGCCAAGCCATGTGCACACTGAATAAATCAACCTGGAGGTTTTATGTCCAGAGGGTCCCCACAAGAGGACCCTCTGTCTTCCAGGTACGCTACCAGTGCCGGGCAACAGCGGCATGACCTCCAGAGCGGAGATCAGCGGAGGGATCACCTCTGCGGTGACCTGGCGAAAACATCCCCTGGGCTTGTGGAACGCTTGTGGGTGGGAAAGTCTGAAAGCGTCTTTCTGTGGACCCCCCATGTTCCCCTCCAAAAGTGATAAATCCCCGCTAAAACCAGGGACACCCCCATAGTTGTAAGCCGGGGTATATTAATCCGGGGTCAACAGTAGTGGTGGCAAAGGTTATATTGGTAACTGGCAACCAACCATTGAGAGACGTTTCGCCCTATTCAGATTGTACAGAGACGGGGTCTCAAAGGTTGGACCCGGACGTGTGGGCGAGTCTGACGTCGGCCTTGACCAGCCCGCGGACGTTGAGGTCAAACTCGCGCATGTCAGTAAGATGCTGGGAGTTGGCAAAGATCTGGGCAATGGAGAGGTCGGTCAGACCGGCGCACATGAAGAAGTCCAAGAACAGGGCCGTGACCTTGACCCGCTTCAATGCTCCAGCCAGCTCCAGCACGGCAGCATCCGAGAGCTGGTGGCAGGACCGCAGGTCCAGGCGCAGGAGCCCGGTAAGCGCGGGCAGGGCGCGGACCAGGGCGACCAGGTCCGTGTCTCGGAACTTCAGACTCTTGGCGAAGGAGAGTCGCAGGCTGCGCCGCGTCTCATCCTCCGCCAGGGCCTGGCAGATGGCCGGCATCAGCTCATGGAGGTCCTTGGAGACCACCTCAGGGTGAGACGTGTTACGATGGTACCGCAGTATCACCGTACCTTTTTGTATAGAAGTGAGATGCCCTGTTGACCACAGCTTCGCCCCCAAATCCCGAATGTTTCGGGCCCCACCGGTGCGTGAGTCGCACTCCATGGAATCATGACTTGACCCCATCCCCCGCCATGTGTTTGGCACATGGCCCAACAAGGAAATGGCCCTCCAAAAACGTGGTGGTTTTCCCTGTAAACTCCTTGTGAGCCCAGCCCAAAAAAAAATTACCCCAAGAGGATAGAGTGATCAGGGCTACTTAGACCTAGTCCCCCGGAAAGGTTCCAAGAACTCCTGTGTAAGAAGATTTCTTCTGACCTTTCCTGTTCCCTACTTGGCGGCCGTTGCCTCCTGCCCAAGAAGCTGTTCTTTGCACTGATTCGTTGGACATTCAATCATGACCCAAAAGATACAGGTCCAAGATTCCAGCCTCAGCCCAAAAGCAGTGCCCCTCTTTTGACAAACCCTTTCCAAACCAAGCATCCACCCTTTCTTCCCTTGGTTGACCCATTTTCAAGCAAACGCGCTCACAAGACCCAACCCAAAAGCAGTCATGCCCAGCCCCTTCTTCTTTGTAGATACACAGATACCGGTGTGTCTTTTTTCAAGGGACCCTCCCCAGATTGGCTTCGGTTCTCCTCTTGCAAACAACAGGGATGCACCCCGTGGGTTTCTCGGCAACCCAACCCCCGCCTGACTCACAGAGGCCATCGCAAAGATGGCCCGAAGGCCCCGGTTCACTGCCTGAACTGGAGAAATGGCGGTGAAATATCCGTGTTTCCCGAAGAGTGGCACCCAGGGCGTCTCTTGAAATATGGGGTCCCCCAGTTTGGGGCTTCCGTTTTGTGTCGTGCTTCCGTTTGAAGCAACCGATTCCAGCGGCTTCTGGCCTCGTAGCGTCGTCTTCGCTCGGGGGACTCGCCCAGGGGCGCGTCCAGCTGCTCGGGTGGAAGGCCCGCGATGCCTTGAGTGGGGGTCGGGCAATGGCCATCGGCGGGCGGGGAAGCGGGTGTAATGTTGACCCAGGATAAAAAACTAGTCCCATTATTAGGGGGGTGTTCCCTCCAAAAGTGGTCTGATTCCCCACTAAACCAAAAGGGGACACCCCCCTATTAATCAAACAGGGTTTAACGATCCGGGGTCAACACTAGAACAGTTGGGGAGGTTGAAGAGGTCAGGGGGCGCAAACCTAAACAACTTTTAGCACTCGGGACCCCAACACTCCCCTTTCGATGAGGATGCTTAAACAACAGTTGTTCAAGTCCCCACACCGACAGGAGATCAGCCTCGAGAAAAGCCGCCCAAGAAGACAGCCTCTCATTTGAGATTTGAGGCGATTCGAAGCGGCCCTTCGAACCAAGCAAAAATTCCAAGAGCCAGTCACAAGAGACTCAGAAACCAAAACTATACGATAAGCACACACCATGATGTTCAAGGTGAAATGTCAACTTCATGACCCTCAAAGCAACAGTTCTCTCAGTTTCATCGTCATGCACACGACATACATCTACCCTCACTAAAAGTGTTCCCTAGAAAGATAGGAAATGGGAGATGAAAGGAATGCTCTGTCTTCATCCCCTTTCCATGCAGTAGAGATTGGTTGGGGAAAGGGATAAGGGAAGACGAGACGAGTGAAAAAAGTGAAAGCGCCCAAACAAAAACAAAAAACAAAAAAAAAGAGCGAAGTGAGTAAGTGACCAAAGGCTTTTTGGTGTTTTCAGAATGGAACCCGCCAAAGCAAAAATCGAGAAGACCTACAAAACAACAAAGTGACATGCCAACTCTGGGGAGAGGCCATTTGAACCGGGATACTGTTCAAGATCCTGATCTTGTCCACAGGGCACGAGGCGCTGGCCTCTGCAATGTCAATCTTTAAGGCTCTCTGCACCAACTCGATGGGAAAGCTCTCTTCGCGCTTCGCCTTGGCCTGAGACCAAAACCCGCGAAAAATTCTGCAGTGTTGCGAAGGGTTTAACCAGAAGGTGGACTGAGCGCTCAAATCAAATCGCTTCAAAGGGATGCAACAGAGGCACATGGGCGAAAACCTGCGCTACTTTCCCCAAACCCAATCGGCCAGTCGTTCAGAATCATTCCTTTCAAGGGCTGCGCAGACCCTTGGGGCCCTGGCATTGAATGAGATTCCCTGCTAGGGGATCGCACAAGCTGTTCCCCCCCCTGTGCCTTGTTGATGGATTAATATTTGAAACTTAATATGTATGTCATTTAACATTTAACATGTGCAGCCTGCTTCATTGCAAGGTTAGGTGGTGTCCCCTGGCAATTGAACAAAACAAATAAGTCGCACCAAATCAAGAACAGTCCGCATCGAAAAAGCAATCAAACGAAATTGCGGCACTGTTTCATGTATGGGTAAATACTGGCTCACAAGCCAAACAACGGAAACGCCCAAGAACAGCGCTTTGGGGTAAATCAGTCGTGAGCCCAAGTGGGGACGCTACTTGCTGCGAACAGAATTGATGGAACTACTAAAGCAAGCAAACACACAAGCAAACAAACAAACAAACAAACAAGCAAGCAAGCAAGCAAGCAAGCAAGCAAACAAACAAACAAACAAACAAACAATAAAACAAACAAACAAACAAACAAACAAACAAACAAACAAACAAACAAGCAAGCAAACAAACAAACAAACCAACAAACAAACAAACAAACAAACAAACAAAGAAAGAAAGCAAAGGAAGCAAACAACACAACACAAGACAAACCGAACAGTCAATCAAACAAGCATGAATGCAAACAAGAGAGCGAAAGACCAACCAACCAACCAACCAACCAACCAACCAACCAACCAACCAACCAACCAACCAACCAACCAACCAACCAACCAACCAACCAACCAACCAACCAACCAACCAACCAACCAACCAACCAACCAACCAACCAACCAACCAACCAACCAACCAACCAACCAACCAACCAACCAACCAACCAAACCAACCAACCAACCAACCAACCAACCAACCAACCAACCAACCAACCAACCAACCAACCAACCAACCAACCAACCAACCACGCAACCAAGAAAGTAAGCATCGAAGCAAGGAAGCAAGGAAGCAAGGAAGCAAGGAAGCAAGGAAGCAAGGAAGCAAGGAAGCAAGGAAGCAAGGAAGCAAGGAAGCAAGGAAGCAAGGAAGCAAGGAAGCAAGGAAGCAAGCAGGCAGGCAAGTCAGGCAGACAGGCAGGCAGACAAATGGACAGGCAGGGAGGCAGACAGGCAGGCAGACAAGCAGGCGGGCAGACAAACAGGCAGACCGGCAACAAGCGCACAGTCAGGTTCTGTGTGTGTGTGTGTAATCTTTAGTTTATGCCCACAAACAGTCCAACCATTTCAACTCTCCGTGGGGATCTCTGCGTGGGTGGGAGGTTCCTCCTTCGTGCAGAAAACTGGTCAGTGAGTGAGTTAGTTGACAAGCTAGGTAGCGGTGTTGAATAAGGTGTTCTTCAGCCCCTCATTCCGGACTGTACCGAGCCCAAAGACATACCAAGATAAGACTTCGAGATTCTGTTTCATGTTTCGCCTACCTGAAAATCTTACTTTAAAAAGGAAACAAAGGGAAAGGAGCCCCAGACTTGGCTGTTACTTCAGCCCCAAATCCCAACATCCCCGGTCGGGTTTCCTTCCCGCCGCTGCCAGCGCAGACGCTCTCCTCCCGCTGCACCTCCTCGGGTGCCAGGCCATCCGTCAGCAGCTCTGCCCTGCCTATGCACGTGGCTCGTCTTTTTGGGGGTGGTACCCCAAAATACGTGGTTGAAGGAAGGGAAACCTAAAGGAACCCTAAAACGCGGTGCTCGTGCACGAACCGTTGGACGTCTCGGGGTGCCTTGGACCATTTGCTCACAAAGGAGACCCTCTGGTGGGCTGGAAAGGGGTACCCTCCAAATGGCTTCAGTTTGTTTCCCTGAAGCACTATCCCAGAAGCTACCGAGCCTCAATGGACCGATGCTGGCTGAAGAGACAACAAAGGGACTGTGGTTCTGTAAGGTCATTTTTGGAACCTGACATTAGGCCAAAAGGAAAAACTCAGGGGTACCCCTTGGCACATGCCGCCTCAAGTTGCGAAGCTTGCCATTGGCAAACCTAAGCAAACTTCTTTCAGGAAGCCATTCCGCCCCATCAAACACCAAAAACCCACCAACTCCACCAAACTCCGTCCTTGGGCGCAGGTGGCAATGTCCAGCAACAGACGCGCGTGCCCCTCGTGGAGATGGCGAGGCGCGCTCTCGCCGCTCTCGCCCAGGTCCGTCAAAGCCATGGCCAGCTCGAAACAGCACCAGGTCCGAGAGAAGGGCGTCCCCTCAGAGTCCAAGACCAGCACCACGCCAAGGGACAGCTGCATGGCACCTGAGAAACGGTGCGTGTCAGACCGAAGGGAGCGAGCTTTTAGTGGCTGGGTGTTGCACCTTATCTCCAAGTGTAGGCACCGGTTTGTTTTTTGCCCTGACACGACCTGCTTGGGGTTTGAAGGAAGCAGGTGGCCCTTCACTTGACACAACCAAGGGCGCCAACACTCAGCAATACACTGGTAATTCCCTTCGCTAGGTCACGGAAGAAGGAGGTCTCTCGAGGATTGCAGCGCAGCTCGTCCCCCAGTTCGTGCTGGTTGTTGGCGTAGGCGCACCTAAAGACACCCCCCTGGTATGGTAGAAACCAATTTGATGAACCAGACAACCCAAAAAAATGAAGCTTACAAACCAAAAGCAAAGAATGAAAAACACAAAAAGCTTGCAACCCCCCCCCCCAAAAAAAAAACCAAAAAAGGAATCCCGTGCCGGGGGATTCTTGCAGTTTTCGGCACACCCAGTAGGCCACCGTTTCTTCCAGCTCCCGCACTTCAGCGTGGCCCTGCAGGCACCTCACGAAGTCCAGGATGGGCTCCTGCCTCGGCTGACCCACACCGACGCTGGTGATCCTAAAGGAAACCGCAAGTTGCGAGGTTCGCTCGGAACAAGGTCAAAACCAACTAAGCAGTGAATTTACAAGAAAAAGCAGGCTGGACGACAATATCCTCTCTGGTGCAGTGCTGCTGCGATTTGGCACCTTGCATGCCCACGAACATCTTAGTTTCATGACAGGAGGGGATGAGGAGAGGCAAATTGCTCTTCACGTTACTTTGCCAAGCCCCCTGTGAGGCGATGAGGACCCAGGCGAGAACACGGCCGCTGAAAAGCAAGCAAGCGATGAGAAAAGACATATTCTAGACATAGACCCTGAGCCCACACCTCCATGCACTTTGGCTGATGCAAACTGGCCTTTGTCGGCTCTCGCACACTCGCACAAGAATCACAGCCATCATGACAATTTGGACAGGCAAGTTGGTTTTTGCAGGTTGTGTTAACAGTTCGTATGCTTTTGGGGCATTCCCTTCTCTTTTAGGAAGTCTTGCTGGCGGCTCCTTGAAAAGAAACACTTGAAGCCAGGTCTCCAGGCGTGCGACACGAACCACTGCGGGTTCTGTGCCTCCTTGCCCGAAGAAATCAGCTCAACGTAGCTGCAGTGATCTTCCCGAGTTGCCGGGCGGATCACCCAGTCTGCCAGCTGATACAGATTCAGCGCCTGTGATTGAATCGGACCCGACCCGTTTGCACGGGATTGAAACCACTGTCAACCTGGCAACCCAAAAATAAGCAGAGGAAATGCCGGAAAGCGGATGGCAAGTCACTTGGCATATATCATAAACATCTTGCCCTTGGGCAGTTTGTCACCCCACTCCCCCGAATCGGTTCCAAGCATGAGTCGGTGTTGGGATGTTTTTCTTTCCAAACACCGCCCCAACGGGCAGTACCCCCCCCCCCATTTCAGCCCCCAGCTCCTCCAAGCAAATGGGTTTGCCAGCGTCGCGCCAGGCTCTTAGCTCTCCGTCGCGGCATCTGTTGACTAAATACGCCTGGAGCTCCTGCAGCTGCAGCAGCTGAATCCCTCGATGCTCGGTGCACGGCAAAAAGGTAGGCGGGCCCTGTGCAAGCGGGGCATAGCTCGTGACATCCAGCTGGAGGCTGCCAAAATCCCAAAAATCCTGCAAGCTTCGCTCGGCCAACAACCGCACGCCCGCATGCGAGAGGAGTTGCTGCTTCGCAGGGATGCCGCTACGAAACTGGACCTCTTGTTGAAGCTCGCGGATGCTCAAAGTCGGGAGCACTTCCTTGCAAGGCAGGGCCACCCCCTTTATGCATGTTTTAACATCTAGTGTCTGAACAAGATCTTCCTGGTGTTCCTTTAAAGGGGACTAGGGGTTGGTTGCGTAAGCAAAATTTGGCCGACTCGGTTTCCTTCAACACCACACTGCCCACATCGCTTTCCACGGTCACGTCCATGCCGGCTTTGCCGGATAGATTTCGACCGCCATGGCAAGCTGGCCAAAACTGCTGCGTGAGACCAAGCATGAAACAACAAAACTGCGAAATAGCAACCAAAACTTGAATAACAATTGGGGAGGTGACATTTCACAAACATAAGCCATAGGCCCCAAACAGCTGTGCGTCACTTTTGGCAGCTGCAAAAAAAGAGCTTTCGTGGATGCAACAAGCATGACGCATGAGCACACACCCAAACAGCATCCAGCACTGACACCACATTGCCTAGGGAATCACAGATGCAAACAACATTTTGGACACACTGGCAAAACGCAAGATTGCGAAATCATGCTTACCACCCATCAGCGCAGCCTCGTGTCCCTTTTGCCAACGAAAAAACACATCGTGCAAGCAGCATCAAAATGGCCCAGGGAGCAACAACATGGCAAAATCTTGCGTGAGGTCACGAACCCGAACGCAAATACGCGGCGTGCATTCTAGCATTCGTGAATATATATATATATAGTTTTGTATTTATTCTGCTGCACTGCGCCAGTCCTACTTGCGTGGGCCCGCGTCAGGCCGTGCCTGCCCCTATTCTTACAACAGGGGACACGCGCACCCAAAAGGGGGCCCAACAGGGGGGGAGGAAACAAACGGCGGATGAGTGCGGAGCACAGGATTGTACGAAACAAACGCACACAGCTCAAGAAGCGTAGCACTCTCTTCTCGCTCGGGGATATTCACTGCACGTGAGTGCGACCCACCTCATGCCTTCGTGCTCGCCATGGAGAACACTGGATTCCTGTGAGAAGGTTCGGAATTCGTCAGAGCTCGGGTGACAAGGTCAAGTTGAGACCTATAGACGACCACGCGGAGAATAGGGTGAAATGTGCCTACGCTTACTCGGATAAGCTGGAGCTCAGGACCCTGGCCCACATCATTTGGTCTGCTACAGCTATTGCTAGGTTTGGGCGTTCTGGTACTGTCAGGCTTGCCCTGTCGTCAGTCGAGGTGCTGGAAGCGCCACTGACCAAGGCGCTGAGCTCCAGGTGACAATTGGCAACCTTTGCTGATGGTTTTGGACCTGGCCTCTGCGTACAAGCAGTTTGCTTTTCATCCTTCTTGCAGGAAATACTCGGTTGTGGCTCTGAAGAGGCCTGGGACGAACGCCGTGCAAATGTTTCGAGGGACTGGTGTTGCCATTCGGGTCAACGAGCGTGGTGCGCTTCAACAGGGTGTCCAAACTCCACTGCATCGGCTTTAAGATCAACCGGGAGTTTCTATGATGACTTTCCTATTCTGTCACAGAGATGTCTGGCTGACACGACATTGGTGCGGCTGTCCCCACTCCAGCGAACGCGTCAGCCGTGACAATCACATGGTTCCACATGGTTCTTCATCGTAACACCCGCCTCTCTCCTTGCTCCAAGAAAGCCGAGGGAGAGAGAGAGAACTTGGCTGGTGAAATGCTTCAGCCATTGGCGCTTCATGACATGCTACCGCGATTCCTGGAAGTAATGAAATTGTTGCTCCGTGCGTTTCTCCCATGCTGTTGGTCCGCGTTCTGCAATGATGCTCATTAGCACTGGCGCTGGTAGGCGTGATTTCTTGTCCGCTGCTGTTCAATTTCTCTGAGTGCCACGCTCAACAAATAGCATCAAACACTTGTGCACAAGTTGCATCAAAAAGATCATGGCTCGGTACTGCATCCGCGCACTTTGGCACAGGGAGGAATGCCTGTTTGAAACAGCTGTTGACCAGCGCCGGCAACTGTTGCTGGTCCTGTACCCGTTGCAGGCATTCTCTGCTTGACTTGAACACAGCAGCCTCATGTTTAAAAGTGTGAACATTGACCTCCCTTGCGCTTCAACAGTCAACTCAGCAACGAAACGCTCGTTTGTTCCTGTACGAAGTGAAACGCTGCGCGCCAGCATTGCCTCAGCAAGAACTGTGACCACAGCCAGCAGTAGCCTGGCAACGATGCGAGTTCACAAGCGTAGAACAGTGCTGCGCTGCTGAGGTGCCTCAAACTATGTGGCTCCAGCAGCTCCAGCTGGCAAGAATCCGTAGCAGTCTGCCCTGACAGCTGGGCGACGGCACAACCCAAAGTTAAAAGGCATCGGAACCAAGTGCTGGGCTTGGATTTGCCTCGGTTGGCTGCTGATTCTTCATCCTCTTTCACCCAGCGGCGGTCCTGCAAAGTCCAGCTGAGAGACGGCAAGGGGCGAGGTGTGGGGAATGGAACAAATGGGGTGCGCTTTGACATGCAAAGCTCTCCTCTTTGCTGTAAATGTCGATCTTGGATGCAGCAATGGTCAACTCCTCCTCCACTTTGATTGCCTGACAATCACTCAAACCCTCCATCTTTGTCATCACCCTTCTGCAAACAGCTCCAAGACAGGATGAGCGAATTTTCGGCTTGAGCCCTTTCAAGCGCGGGGCCTTCTTCAAGTCATCCACCTGACATCCCCGAGAAGCGTCAAGCAGCATTTCCGAAGGCAAAACAAAGGTGAGGGAAATCCTTCATGAAGTGGCGCAGCTGAGGTCGCTGCGTTTGTCAAGAACCCTTTGACCTGAAACGCCTGCAAAACCACTTTAGGCCAATTTCATCTGTTTAACCAATGTCCGGCGCAGCTGAGGCGTGGGCATCTGAAACACTAGCAGTGACTTTGAACGCGCTGCCAATGGTCTCAGGCTCCTTGCCGTCCTTGCAACGCACAAGCACTGCAATCCATCAGTCGGCCCTTTGACAGCTTTTCTCGAACATGAACGCAGGGCAGGCAAAACTGCACACAGCTGCTGGTAAGGCCCAGGCAGGGCTTCTCAGCTGACAGACCCACACCGCAGCGGATGGTTGCGAGTCGCCTTTGCCTTGCGGGACAAAACAAGAACAGAAAAACAGAAGAAAAAAAGAGAGACTTTACCGAGTGTCTGGCCTCAGCTTGTTAATACAGGTTCACGCTCATCCATGACCCCATCAATGGAATCTGGATTTTACGGACTCAAACTTTCTTGGCACATGGTTAGAAACAAGGCGGAACTCCACATCAGCATTGTGCATGTTTTTGCGACTGTGGTATCTGTGACGTAGAGTATGTCAGTCAAAGGCCGTGCGCCATCAACAAGCTTGACACGCAATCCCAGCAAACGGCCAAAAACACCCAAATCAAAAAAAAATCAGCATCTTGAATTGATTCGGACAGAAAGAAACTGCATAGAAAAAGAAGCGAAAGGTCAGAAGCCAAGACATCTGAAGATTCCGACAATGACAACACCCAACCTAATGGATAGGCGCAGCTTGATACGATGAACCATTGTCGACAAGCATGGCTTGAAAGCTTCAAACCCCATTGCACCAAATAATTTACACCGTGCGTGCCAAGGTGCCTTCGACCAGCAGAAATGACAACTCATCAAGACGATGGGAAGGGAGTGCCCTGCTCAAGGAGCGAAGCACTGCTCGCCGAACATGAATATCACCTGTCCATGTCATCACGTAGCGGTGCACCTCCCCTGCGTATTCCCGAAGATGTTTCTTGAGGATTTCAGGCTCACTGCTCTGAACCAATGGAGGAGTGGGCACATGTGCCAAACTTGAATCCATGGTACCAATGACCGTCTTCATTTGATTCATTGCGTCTCTCATCTTTTTCCAGAAATCCTGAAGGTCTGTTGCACTTGGAGACCGTATCCTTGAAGCAGCTCCAAAATCGTGCCACAGGAAATAACGGTCTTCCTTGCCCAGCCGTTGATGCATCAGAATATTGCCGAGGTGACAGTCATGCCACATGTTCAGTTGCGCAAGTGACGACAAGTCTTCCACATAACCGGCAAGCATTGTGAGCAACTCCCGCACTGACAAAGTTGTAAGGCTCAGTGGCGTGACTTTCTTCATTATGGACACGTGCGCAGTGACGGACTCACGTCCGACAGTCTTGGACCATCGGCCATGAGAGTCGATGCGCCACACTCGATGTCTTGATGATGGCAAACAAAACTCGCAAGCAACATCAGGTGAAGCAACTTCAAACACAAGCCCCGCATTCCAAACCACTTTCTGTCGCCAGTAGTTTTCGGCCATGAGCTCCTGCTTGGATATCCACCGCCGCAGAGGCCTTTGTTCGCTGTTTGTCAACCCCACGCGAATTGCACGACGAACGAATTCAGCCTCTGCTGTGTCGTGAGGCACGTCGCGCAGCTCATCCAGCATGTCGTCCACCGAGAAGATAAATGAACCGCTCGCGTTGCTGGCAAAACTTGGTGTTTCCAAGGCTACCCGCACAACAATATACTGTTCCGGACAGATGGCCGTAGCTATTGTGTTTCCGCCTCCTGCAGCTCCTGTACCATCATATTCGCAATGAACAAATGCATCCAAGGCCTGACATGAGCCCGGTCTGCAAAGTGCAAGCCCACGAGCCAAGGCAAGGAATAGAATTGGGACTTGCAATCGTAACACGCGGCGCAATACCATGGCGCAGCCGACACCGCACATCTACAATAGATTGCAACGCCTTTTCTTGAAACATCATAAAACTAGGAATTTGATCTCTAAATGTCAATGTCAACCGACAGCGGGTTTGCACAACCTCGGATCTCTGGAAGGCTGCGCAAAATTGAGGTCTTCAACAATACTGCACATTTATGTAGCCGCAATTCATGTCCAGAGCTGAGGTCCATGAGTTTTGCCCCAACACTTCGTCCCAAATAGGTTTGGGCCAAACAGAGACGAAACATCACAGGAACAGAAGCAAAGCACACGACCTCAGACACCTCCAACTGTAAAGGTGGGTCCAAGGGGGCGCTTCTGCTCGTGCTTTGGGGCCTAACGAGAACCTTCAAAGGGTGTTTCCACCAGCGCATATTGAAGCGGAGCGCTTCCACCATCATCCTATTTGTTCTTGCTCGCGTTTTGCTCGGCGCCACTCTGCGCTTGCTCGGCGCACGTCTCTTTCCCGCCAGCCACCCTCCATGTC